TAGTTTTCAATCTTCTTCATCCCATGGCCAACAATGAAAAAAAGTTCTAGTGTCGTGATTTGCTGCTCTGTCAAGATACCCACAAACCCTAAGGTAGCCTTCGACAGGGAAAGTACTACCAGTTAGAGCTATCGGCGCACATGAAGGACACCTTCAAGATTCTCTGAATATCAAAACAAGGTGGAAGGCAACGAGTAAAAAGGAAAACAAAGTCGAAAGGTCGTGAAGACCCGTCCAGCACAGCAGCGTCGAATCAATCGAGACAGGCGGCCCAATTTGTGATTTCGGGCAGCGATCTACACCGTCCAACTTGATCTATCAGTTTGTAAAAGTACCTGGGCGAGTGTCACGGTCCTGACAAGGGTCGCGAGGCGTCGAGGTAAATTTTGAAGTACGCCCTCAGCGGCCAAAGTCCATGAAACGGCTCAATCTTCTTCGGATACTTTCTTCAAGAAACCCTGCTACCCCACTGTTCTTCAAAGAGGATTCATCAAGTAGAGAAAAAGTCAAAGAAAACTCATTTTCTATGGATCCTACCAACAAATGGAAGAAAAAACGACGAACTATTCATGAAAAAAGAGCATACTATGACAGCATCTCTTCTTCCTTTATTTCCTTGGAAGGCTTACCAATTTTAGTACTACACAGAGTATGCTTCTCAATCTACACGCCCACTTTTGGTTGAAGAAGCCTTGTAACCGCCTTAGGCCGATGTCAGACTTTGCGAATCGCGCGATTCGCTAGCGTCCGCGGTCGCGTTGCGGTACCAGCCAATTGAGTGATTCACTGGCCGCGACGCGACCGCAGACGCTAGCGAATCGCGCGATTCGCAAAGTCTGACATCGGCCTTAGCCAGCTGTGTGTTGATTGATCTTTGGCGTTGACCGTGGAGCAGCTTATCTACTATTGAAATTTGAACATATATTCAAATGATTATAACTTTCTTCAAAGTTGACGAATTTTCAATCTGAAAGCAGATTTGGAGTTTTGTGAAGAGCTCTTTCTAATCAGTACTGAAATTACAAAAATTTATAAGAAATAACAAATTTAGATTGATTAACGAGGAAAATTCATGATGAGCACGAGGTCGTCATGTTTCGAAAGTTAATATGGATTGCCCGAGATAGAAAAGTGGAATTGAACGCTGAACTAGAAGGGTTGCCGACGGGGTCACCCAGGACGTCAGCTAACGATTGAAACAGCACTAGTCTCACAGTTGGTTTTCGTCCTTCCTTCCTCAAGCTACACGGATAAAAGGATACACATTACGTCCGAAGCTAGAGTCGTCATGAGCTCGAGGATCAACGAACATGCAGACAGACGAGTTGATTTTGGTCGAGAAGTTGTTCATTTCTATGGCAGGCTCTCCACGATGCAGACATTTTTACGAACGGCAAATTTACAAAAGAAGTATTGATTAGGTCTCAAAAGTATTCCAACATGTAATATGATAAATCTTCCATTTCTAATTTTAATCGAAAATTCATGAAATTTGCAAACATTAGACGTTTGACTACAATATGATGGGACTACTTTCTGGCAGGATAGCGATGTGTAAGAGGTTAGATATGTCTGGCCACCTCGAACAACCGCGAGTTCGATCCCTGCGAGGTTAACATGCCTGCAAAATTGCATGAAAAGGTTGAGCTCACCAGGTCAGGCTGCAGGTTAAAGGTCGGCTCGATTGGAAGACCGTCCAACAATATGTCTTTGGCGAGCTGACAAAGACAGCGGACCTGCGACTGCGCGGGATAACGGGGAGGAGAAAGAAGAGATGATGATGACTACATTTGCGTTGGCTCGTTTGGAACGTTAACGGTGAGATGAGCCCTAAAAAGACTCTTTACAATGACTTTCGGGAGATTTCGTGCTAACAACTGGTTAATGTGGGTGTTTTCGACAGAGCTGGGGAACTCATGCATGCATGTTTCCTACAAGGAAGGTCCTTCAGGGTGTGCCAAGCTTTTTCAAAACGGTCTTTTGCATGGTATAGAGGCACATGTGGGAAGTCGAGAGGACGATGCTTGGAGTAACCCTTTACATGCAAGCACAGAGAGGAATCGGGAGCTCCGATCTATGCCAACGGTCGAAGATCAGAGGCGCTGCCGGTTTCGCCAAGGAATCGAAGATAGGGTGGGCCGGACACGTCATGCGATTTTGCGATGACCGTTGGACCAGAGCGGTTACCGACTGGATCCCTCGGGACGTCAAACGAACACCTGGACGACCGCCGGCCCGATGGTCAGACTTCTTCACGAAAGCTCTGAACGAAAGGAATGAAGGACTTCGTGTCCCTCGAGCGAGGAGGATCCACTGGACCACTCTAGCACGCGACAGGGACGAATGGAGACGTTGCTGGCGCCCGCTCGAGCAAATCGACGATCAACGGGACGACAGGTGATACAGGTGATTGGTGAGCATTCAAAGCAATTATAAGATTTTTCCTCCAACTTGTATGCGCTCTGTGCTTAATAGGAAATAGGATGATAATTTCGTATGTAGAGGACCCAGGCAAGCGACACGGGAAGCAGCTACTATCCGGAAAGTGACGAAGGTGGCGGGATGGGCGGAATGCTCCATGAAATGGAAACGCGCGCTTGCTGGGAGGGGAATTGGTCCACAACCCGGACCCCCTTTATTTTTCTGAGTTTATCCGCAGACAATTATCACCCCGCGCGTCACAAATAGTCCCTCGCCCCTTTACGCGCTATAAGCCGCCAAACATATGAGAAATCCAAAGCACTTGCATGAATATGAAAAGTGCTGTTTGAGAATGTTTCGCAAGGGCACTGGGTCATGAACAAACGTTTGCCCACGCAGGACTCGAACCAGCACTTCTCGCTTGCAGGGCAAGTGCGCTACGAGTTGCACTATCGGGACAGCCGTTCCACTCTAACTTAGTTTGAATCAGTTATTCCAGCAGTTTTGAAAGAAAGTCGAATATGGCGCGATTTCACGAAGCCATTGATAAGTGGTAGGCGAAATATGCGGGTGGGGCGGAGCGAAAGTTTCGTTCATAACCCAATATTCTTGAAACATTCGTAAGGCTAACTGTGGCTGAAAACAGCTGTTAACAAACAAAAAGTAACCATGAGGTAATTTCAAAACTCCTTGCTGACAAAACAGGACTACCGTAACTGCACGGACAATGCACTTGCAGTCTTTGGCTTTACTTAAAGTCGGTGCAAGTGTCAATTGAAAGCTGGCTGGGTCCGGAAGGGTACAGCGTTCAAAGTTTCCTCATTTGGGCGGCATCGATCCATTCAGGTTCTGTTTGTCACGTCGATGTATTTAACACGATCAACGAAGCTTGTGAAAAGCTGAACTTTAATAAATGCATGAATCAGTGACGGAGGAACAATGGAATAGAGTTTATATACATACAATGGAAGCGATTTAAAATTATCTACATTCTCGACCGAGTTCAGGCAAAATGCATGCACCTTTTATGACAGGACCACCTTTCTGCTGAAGGCAGCGATGGCCTCGTGGGAAAGACACAAAAATCACGTCATGCAGGAGATTCTCATCGTAAACAGATAACCGACAACAATTAAGACTTCACACTTCAGCTTGTCTTTGCAACCTGTGCTATAAAATGAATATTGATTGGTGCGCGAGCGCAATCGATATCCATTTTTCATGCATGCACGATATGGCTGAAGTATGAGGGCACTTTTAGGGCATCATTTGATCATAGGGTCGACTGGCTCGTGCACATGCAGTGGCATTTCGAAATGTAATCGGGTATTGAGAGCGGTGATTGGGCTGAGATAGCCGTGCTTTTCGAGGAATTTGTACACCTCTTGCTGATATTTCTGTTCAAATTTGTTCAGATCCCTCGCCAACACCATCGACGGATACTTCAAGAGGCTGGCTGAGCACAATATACTCGTACTCTCCACGCGAATTCAAGCCGCCCATCTTCACCGGAAAGCTGAAAGGAGTATCAAGAGTGTGGGATTGAAATGACAGTATTTTATGTTGACAGGAAAGAACACTGGTTAACTCATATCAGGCGGAATTGCAAGCTTCCACATGAGTTTCACGCGTATTTTTAGTGGGAGCGTCTCGTACTGGCAAAGGAGGCCTTTGGCAGATGTCGGACCATCGTCTCTGAAACAATCGCTAGCGTCTCAGAATCGCTCGAATTGTTCAAATAGCTAGCAAAACCGTGCGATTTGCCAGCGACAGGTCGCGAAGTTTGACACCTGCCCTCCCCTTGTCTGCCGCCGTCCCGCCTATGCCCCGCCTCCAGCTGGCCGCTCCAGCACTAGTTTTCTTAATCGAAGCGGATAAGAGGTTTACAGGATGACGTCCGCTATAATTGCATTTCTTCCAGCATCAAAATCAAGCAGAGGTCAAAGGGGGAACTACGATTGCATCGGAAGTCGGAGAAGAGGAAATACACCTAGTTCTGAAGGGGATATGCTTTCAGCGACCAAGCAGGACCTTACGCGCGCAGCTTCCGCCGCTGCCCACTCACCGACTGGCTAACCCTCTGCCGACCAAAATCTAGGCCTCTACGGTTCAGCAGAGACGCAAAGCGGAGCTCCCTCACTTTTTCAGCACCACTTGATCGCTGTGCTTTGGAAATCAGCGACCACAAGGAGTGACATTTCGGTCCTGAGCCGTTTTCCTTGGTCATTTTTTCTTCAACGGGGCATCACCAAACATCCGTACCATGATTTGTAAATGGGGCTTTTTCTGACTTTAAGTTGTCTACCATACATCTAAATATCTATTTGTATATCTCGTTATGAGTATATCAAAGTTGAGAGAGATGGGCGGACGTTGGTGTCAATCCGGGATTAAAAACTTCGCTGGTCGAGATCGATTAGTAAGTACTAATGCTCTATGAGAGAATAATCCCGCATAGTCAACTGTCGACAAATAACTTTTTACCACTCCAAAGCCTCCAAAAATCACTATGACTTTGAACAGAAGCAAAAATGCAGGGCGCAGCTCTAGAGGAGATGAGCCTATGCGAAACGCTCTGTGCTTTCATCTTTGTAGTTTCATAGCGGTTGACGACGGTATAGCTCGTTATGCATTACACCTTCAAAAAGCTCAACCCAAAAGCCTTTCCTAAATTCCTAAAACACCTACTTGATTGTATTTTCCTCATCAATTCATTGAAATGAACCAGCCCAAACTTAGGAATTGACGGACTACTTGAACTCAGCCCTTTACCGCCTCTGCGCTCTCTAGCGGGTCCCTCTCCTCTCCAAGGCTTGGTCCTAGGGCATTCTCTAATCGTCTCTGCTCTAGCCATCGCGGCGGGACCATTGAGGGAAAATCAAGTAGTCCGTAAACCTTACATGGACAGCTATCCGATCGATGTCCGGTCATATACAGCACTTCGCCCGGCTCTGGGCCCACCATGCGACCGTATCCTGAAATAAAATGATCCAAATAGGCTCTCAAAGGCAGTGAACGCGATGGCTGGAAAGAGGATCAGTGTTGACGACGTCATTGGGTTTTAGTGATAAAGGGGTTTCGGGAGTTCGGTCTCAGACACAACTCTCAGCGCCCTTCCATCAGTAGAAGACAATGACGCCACCAAAAGCGCTCCGTCTAGCCTTCCAGCTCAGTTGTTCTACACTATCATGAGAACGGCTCGAACAAAGCTTCATATAAACTTTCACCACCATGGTTTAGCGCTCTCATTACTCACCTTGATTCGTGACTACTTCTCCTTTATAGGTGGCATACTGTAGTGAGGAGAATGTTCCTGTGAACTCGGTTGACGTGAGCAATTCAACTGAAAAGCACAACAGATAAACAAAGACGAAGAAAGAATGTTGGACTGACAAAAGTCTTACAATAATGAACAGCACATTGTTCAGGGTGAACGGCTTTTGCATCGACGACCTGTAATGGGTGACAGTTATGGAGCTCATTCTGGGCTATCGGACACTGTAAACCAATCGGAAGTGCTGAATGTGGCACAGACGGTTACCATTCAGCCTTGGATATAGTCTGACCTTTACCATACTGTGACGGGACATTTTGAAAATAGCTGATCAACTCGCTCACAGGCCTGATCCCTTCAAACCAAAATGATCACCATTTTACGCGCCGAAAGGACCACAATATCAGGATAAAGCGTGAAGAAGTAGGCAATCGTAATTAAACAACTATATTTGAGTGTGCGCCACGCATTCTACTTCCATTCTCGTTGCAGTGGCAATTTGATGCGGTTTGGCCTATGCAATGAAAAGGCTGCGGCCCAGTCTATGAACACGTCAGTACTTTTATCCTCTCGACGAGCCTAGCTCAACAACC